GATATGAACCTCCCTCCGACACGATATGACAAGAGGAGTGTCTTGTCGAAGAAGGGTTAATGAACTCGAGAAGGGGAACTGAAAACAAAAGGCTGCCATTCCGAAAGGTAAACTATGAGGAGATAAGGAAATTCCTAACAGATATAACATGGGAAACAGAGCTCAGGGGAAAGACGGCCCAAGACATGATGGACTACATCACGCAGAAGTGTAAGCAGGCAGTAGACAAGTCTGTCCCAGTCCAAAAGGAAAACAACGAAACGACGATGAGAAACTCATGGTTTAATCAAAGATGAAAGCTAGACAAGCAGAAAAGTAAAAGAGTGTGGAGAAACTATAGAAATAACAGGACAAGATACCAGAGTGCCAGGAATGAATACGTCAGGTTGAGAAGAGAGGCAGAAGGGCAATACGAAAATGACATCACGAGCAAGGCAAAGACTCAGCCTAAATTGCTGCACAGCCACATCAGAAGAAAAACAACAGTAAAGGAACAGGTAATAAAGTTAAGGATAGGGGCAGACAGATTCACTACAAACGATAAGGAAGTGTGCGAGGAACTGAATAAGAAATTCCAGGAGGTCTTCACATTAGAGCAAAGGAAGTTACAGAGACAAGAGAGGGAATAGTTAACCAGGAACCACTAGAAGAGATTGAGATTACCAGCGGGGAAGTAAGGAAGCTTTCACTAGAGTTGGATGTGACAAAGGCTATAGGCCCAGATGGAATCTCCCCTTGGATATTAAAAGAAGGAGCAGAAGCACTGTGCCTGCCACTCTCCATAGTGAATAACAAATCACTGGTAACAGGGGAACTGCCAGAAATTTGGAAGACGACTAATGTAGTCCCAATAAACAAGAAGCGGGGATAGACAGGAGACACTGAACTACAGGCCAATGTCCCTAACCTGCATACCATGCACGCTGATGGAGAAGATTGTGCGAAAAAGCTAGTGGAACACCTGGATCGAATGTACTTTGAAACACAGCATCAGCATGTGTTCAGGGATGACAAGTCCGGTCTCAGAGGATTATTTGAATTCTATGACCAGGCAACAAAAATCAGGCAAGGAAGAGAGGGGTGGGCAGACTGCATATATTTGGATTGCCAGAAAGCCTTTGACACAGTACAACACAAGAGGTCAGTGAAAAAGCTGGAGATGCAGACAGGAGTGGAAGGGAACTTACTCCATTGGATAAGGGAGTACCTAAGCAACAGAAGACAGAGTCACTGTGAGGGGTGAGGTCTCAGATTGGCGAGACGTCACCAGTGGAGTCCCGCAGAGTTCAGTCCTTGAACCTATACTGTTTCTGATACATGTAAATGATCTCCCAGAGGGTATAAAATAGTTCCTCTCATTGTTTGCTAATGATGCAAAAAATATGAGGAAAATTAAAACAGAGGAAGATAGTAGGAGGCTAAAAGATGACCTAGACAGACTGAATGAATGGTCCAACAAATGAGTGCTAAATTTCAACCCGAGTAAATGCAATGTAATTTAGGCAGTGGAAACAGGAGGCCAGACACAGGATGCAGAACAGGAGATGAAGTCCTTCATGAAACAGACAGAGAGAAAGATCTAGTTGATATCACACCAAACCTGTCTCCTGAAGCCCACATAAAAGGAATTACATCTATGGCATATGCGAGGCTGGCTAACATCAGAACAGCCTTCAGGAACCTGTGTAAGGAATCATTCAAAACCTTGTTTACCACATATGTAAGACCAATCCTGGAGTATGCGGCCCCAGCATGGAGCCCGTACCTTGTCAAGCACAAGAAGCAGTTAAAATTTCATTGGTATGCCACTAGACTGGTCCCAGAACTAAGAGGCATGAGTTACAAGGAAAGGCTGCGTGAGATGCACCTCACGACTGTGGAAGACAGTGAAGTAAGGGGAGACATGATCACTACCTACAAAATTCTCAGAAGAATTGACACGGTAGATAAGGATAAACTTTTTAACACGGGTGGTACGCGAACAAGGGGACACAGGTGGAACTTTTTCAGTATCAGAGTAGTTAACAGATGGAATGCATTAGGCAGTGATGTGGTGGAGGCTGACTCCATACACAGTTTCATATGTAGATAGAGCCCAGTAGGCGCAGGAATCTGTACACCAGTTGATTGACGGTTGAGAGGCGGGACCAAAGAGCCAGAGCTCAACGCCCCCCCCCCCTCCAAGCACAATTACGTGAGTACAAAAACTCACCCAATCCCTTCCTCCCTGTTCCACCACCACATGCCTCCCTGTTCCACCACCTCATGCCTCCCTGTTCCACCACCACATGCCTCCCTGTTCCACCACCTCATGCCTCCCTGTTCCACCACCACATGCCTCCCTGTTCCACCACCTCATGCCTCCCTGTTCCACCACCTCATGCCTCCCTGTTCCACCACCTCATGCCTCCCTGTTCCACCACCTCATGCCTCCCTGTTCCAACACATCATGCCTCCCTGTTCCACCACCACATGCTTCCCTGTTCCACCACCTCATGCCTTCCTGTTCCACCACCACATGCCTCCCTGTTCCACCACCACATGCCTCCCTGTTCCACCACCTCATGCCTCCCTGTTCCACCACCACATGCCTCCCTGTTCCACCACCTCATGCCTCCCTGTTCCACCACCACATGCCTCCCTGTTCCACCACCTCATGCCTCCCTGTTCCACCACCACATGCCTCCCTGTTCCATCACCATATGCCTCCCTGTTCCACCACCACATGCCTCCCTGTTCCACCACCTCATGCCTCCCTGTTCCACCACCTCATGCCTCCCTGTTCCACCACCTCATGCCTCCCTGTTCCACCACCTCATGCCTCCCTGTTCCACCACCTCATGCCTCCCTGTTCCACCACCTCATGCCTCCCTGTTCCACCACCTCATGCCTCCCTTTTCCACCACCTCATGCCTCCCTGTTCCACCACCTCATGCCTCCCTGTTCCACCACCTCATGCCTCCCTGTTCCACCACCACATGCCTCCCTGTTCCACCACCTCATGCCTCCCTGTTCCACCACCTCATGCCTCCCTGTTCCACCACCACATGCCTCCCTGTTCCACCACCTCATGCCTCCCTGTTCCACCACCACATGCCTCCCTGTTCCACCACCACATGCCTCCCTGTTCCACCACCTCATGCCTCCCTGTTCCACCACCTCATGCCTCCCTGTTCCACCACCTCATGCCTCCCTGTTCCACCACCTCATGCCTCCTTGTTCCACCACCTCATGCCTCCCTGTTCCACCACCTCATGCCTCCCTGTTCCACCACCTCATGCCTCCCTGTTCCACCACCACATGCCTCCCTGTTCCACCACCTCATGCCTCCCTGTTCCACCACCTCATGCCTCCCTGTTCCACCACCACATGCCTCCCTGTTCCACCACCTCATGCCTCCCTGTTCCACCACCACATGCCTCCCTGTTCCACCACCTCATGCCTCCCTGTTCCACCACCTCATGCCTCCCTGTTCCACCACCTCATGCCTCCCTGTTCCACCACCTCATGCCTCCCTGTTCCACCACCTCATGCCTCCCTGTTCCACCACCACATGCCTCTCTGTTCCACCACCTCATGCCTCCCTGTTCCACCACCACATGCCTCTCTGTTCCACCACCTCATGCCTCCCTGTTCCACCACCTCATGCCTCCCTGTTCCACCACCACATGCCTCCCTGTTCCACCACCTCATGCCTCCCTGTTCCACCACCTCATGCCTCCCTGTTCCACCACCACATGCCTCTCTGTTCCACCACCTCATGCCTCCCTGTTCCACCACACTATGCCTACCTGTTCATCTTCGCCAGTGGGAGAACAAAGAACCACATAGAGGTGCAGAACATGGAGAGCTAAGCTACTTGACTACATCAAGCAGACGTGTAAGGAGGCAGCAGACGTGTAAGGAGGCAGCAGACGTGTAAGGAGGCAGCAGACATGTAAGGAGGCAGCAGACGTGTAAGGAGGCAGCAGACGTGTAAGGAGGCAGCAGACGTGTAAGGAGGCAGCAGACGTGTAAGGAGGCAGCAGACGTGTAAGGAGGCAGCAGACTAGTTGGTCCCAGTTCAACAGAAAAAATCAAAACAAATGCAAATGAGGAACTCGTGGTTTAATCAGAGATGTAAGCTGGCAAAACATTTAAGTACAAGAGAATGAGAAAACTATAAAAACAACAGGACACCAGAGAGCAGAGAATGATAAAGAGAGCTAGGAATGAATACGTCAGGGTTATCTTGAGGTTATCTTGAGATAATTTCGGGGCTTTTTAGTGTCCCCGCGGCCCGGTCCTAGACCAGGCCTCCACCCCCAGGAAGCAGCCCGTGGCAGCTGACTAACACCCAGGTACCTATTTACTGCTAGGTAACAGGGGCATTCAGAGTGAAAGAAACTTTGCCCATTTGTTTCTGCCTCGTACGGGAATCGAACCCGCGCCACAGAATTACGAGTCCTGCGCGCTATCCACCAGGCTACGAGGCCCCTGGGTGGGTGAGAAGAGAGGCAGAAATACAGAGCGAAAATTAAATAGCAAGTGAGGCACAGACCCCCAGATTGCTGCACAGTCACATCAGAAGTAAAAGAACAGTGAAGGAACAGGTAATGAAACTGAGGATAGGGGCAGACAGATTCACTACAAACGACAAGGAAGTGTGTGAGGAACTCAATAAGAGAGACCAGGAGGTCATCACATTACAGCCAGGAGTAGTTCCAGAACTAATAGAGGGAATATCTAACCAGGCACCACTAGAAGAGTTTGAGAAGACCAGAGGGGAGGTGAGGCACCATTTGCCTGAATTTGACGTGAAAGACTATAGGCCCGGACCAATTATCACCATGGATACTAAAAGAGGGAGCGGAAGTACTGTGTCTGAAACTCAATAGTGTATAAGAAGTCACTGGTAACAGTGACAGACACTGTCACCCTCCACCAGCTCATACTCCACCTAGTAACACTGGACCTCCCAGCTCATACTCCACCTAGCACTACTGGACCTCCCAGCTCACCCTCCGGCTAGCGTGAGGCAGGCCGCGCCTTACCTTGAGAGGCATGGATGTACCGTCATCCCGCCTGATGTAGTCGTAATAGAAGCCGTCGTCGTCGTCCCACAGCCCACGACCCTGGCCCGAGGCGTTGATGGCGTCCACAATGAGGATAAAGTGCTCAAAGTACTTGGAGGCCATGTCCTCGTAGACGGGGTCGTGCTCGGCCAGGGTGAGGGCCATGTCCAGCATCACCACGCAGAAGAAGGCCATCCACGCAGTGCCGTCGGCCTGAAGGAGACCACATTGTGTAGTAAGTACATATTTGTGGCATCACCGGTGCCTGTACAGGACACAGAGGCCAAGACTGGCATCACCGGTGCCTGTACGGGACACAGAGGTCAAGACTGGCATCACCTGTCGGGAAACCGACACACACACAACCACACACACACAAATAACACAGTCTCCCCTAGTCTATACTCCCTTCAGGATGGAAAATGGGAGACTCCGTGACATCATCGACTCCGTGACGTCATCGAAGTCATCGTATATTTACATTATGAAACATTGTTAATAGACTAGTTTAGTCTCTAAAGTTAACAAAAAAGTAATCACTAAGAATGAATATAATTATTTACATCAAATAGTAGCTAGGTTCCCTTGTTAATGTAAAATTACTTTGAGTGAAGAACCAGAGCATAAGAGCGTCTCCCCGAGTCGAGGAAGGCGTCCATATACACAACAAAAACAAACAGGGGACCAGCTTACCACGCTGTCTTAGAACTGGTGTAAACAGCTAGACACCCCATTTACGTGTCAACACCAGCAACACAGCTTAACAACATCACAACAACGACTGTATCCGTCTACCATGTATTGTATATTATTCGAGTGCACTGTTTAATATGAATATGTAGATGGTTATATCGTAGGACATCCCCAAAAACAACGTACGTGTACCCCATTACAGCCCTCAGTTTATGCCATACCTGTAATTGATATGTTTAGGGAACTTTGATTAATTCCTTGCATCCCATACAGGTAAATTGTGAGAGGAGCATCAAGAATCTGTGCAGACAGTTGGTTCATACACATAATTAACTACTTGTTTGCCAAGCCTTGTCCTTCCCACCAGCCGCCATTACGTGGCACAAAGAGGCAGGGCCACACCCATCTTCAGGCTACACCTACACGCCTTACTAGGCCCATTCTACTGGCACAGCTAAGACATTATAGCAGTAGCAGTAGTTATAATTAATTACTTATAATGAAATAACTGAAATAATAGTTTTAAAGGTAAACAATTGGTAGTTTAAGAAGGACCCATAACATAGTGGTTTAGGCTACCAATTGTCCCTCCCAATAGTGTGTAAGAAGATTTCAGGCAGTTTACCAGTACATACAGTCCACTTAATTAATACTTAATTAATACTTACTTACTAAGAAAATAAATAAGACATAACTTTATTTTATTAAATCAATTTGAAAAAGAGAGATTAGCTGCCTGGATTTTCCCCACATTATTTGGTCCTACGGAACCGGATTATTTAGTTCTTTGAAACTAGATATTATACATACTAGATATATTATACATACATATATATTATACACTGGTTCGAATCCGGTCCTTCGAACCGGATTCGAACCAGTAACCTATGGATTAAGGATCCTAATGATCCAAACAGTGAAATAATCACTTATCGGTTTGCGTCTGTTTTGTTCGGAGCCACGAGCTCACCATTTCTGCTTCAAGCTACCTTGGATACACACTTGAAGAAGTCCAATAGCCCGAACAAGACAGAAATTAGCGAAAACCTGTATGTGGATAACTTTCAAGGAACAGCCAACAGTGAAAGTAAGCTGTTGGACATATACCATGAGGCCAATCGAGAATTAATGGGAGCCAATATGCCTCTCCAGTCTTGGGTCTCTAACAATGACAAATTAAAACAACTGATCACAACTGAATTTCCCGACTACCAAGTACCCGAGATGACAAAGGTACTAGGTGTCCAATGGAACACGACAACCGATCAGTTGACAATCAAGTCAGTGGAGACAGATACCACTAACTTAACAATGAGAAAATTGCTATCACAAGTCAGCAAACCCTTCGACCCATTAGGCTTATTAAGTCCAATACTAATTAATGGGAAGATGATAATACAGGAATGTTGGCAACAAAAGATAGGCTGGGATGATCTTCTAACACCTGCCCTACAAGAAAAATGGCAAGGGTTAGTGAAAGATTTAAGCATCCTAGAGTCTGTCAAGTTCCCTAGGAACACAACAGTAAATGAAAAGGAACCAATTAAGCTGCATGTATTTTGTGATGCCTCAGGAAAGGCTTATGGTACAGTAGCTTACCTGTCTCAAATGGGCAAGCCAATTTGCTCACATCAAAGGCCAGAGTGGCACCTTTAAAGAAAAGATCACTGCCACAACTGGAATTAACAGCCTTACTGCTAGGTGTAAGATTGGTTCATTATCTGATCAAGGCCTTAAGCCACATCCACTTTAAAGAAACAGTAGTATGGTCAGATAATGAGGCAGTGCTACAGTGGGTTAAAAACAATAACAGTAAGAATCCTTACGTGAGTAACCGCGTTAAGGAAATACGAGAGTTGTCAGCAGGGTATAAACTAAGATATGTACCCACTAAAGAGAATCCAGCTGACTATCTCTCCCGAGGCCTGACTTTACGGCAATTAACAAAGGCCGAGATGTGGTTCAATGGACCTCAGTGGCTAATCAGCGACCAGTGGCCTAAACAAAAGCCACAAGTCATTGTGACCAATGTCACTGTTCCCACTGAGAACCCGGAACTACCTCGGACTTTGGTAATTGATCCTGCTCGGTACTCTGAACTGAACAAACTTGTAGGTGTCACCCAAGTAGTGTTTGATTTTCTAAAGAAAATAGGAATCAAGCATAAATTCCCTAGTGCCTTAAGGTACTGGGTTAAAAGAGCTCAGACCGACACATTCGGGACAGAAATTGACAATGTTCCTAAGAAGCTACAACATGATCTGGGCCTCTGGTTAGACACTGACAATTATAACTTAATAAGATGCGGAGGACGCTTACAACATGCTGACATAGATCTGGAAGCAAAAAATCCAATATTGCTCCCTCGTCACCACATAGTAAGCAAACTAATTGTGTTACATATACACAAATACTGCACTCTGCATGGTGGGGTATTAGATACTCTCACAGAATTAAGACAACAGTACTGGCTACCCCAAGGTAGACAGACAGTAAAATCCATAATCAAATCCTGTGTTGTATGCCGGAGATACGATGCCAGAGTGTGTCCATATTCTGGCCCTCCTCCACTTCCGAAGGAACGAGTCGTACATATTCATCCTTTTGAGACAACAGGAGTAGATTTCACAGGAGCACTGACACTGACAGGCACTAAAGACAAGAAACCAGTAAAGGCCTATATCTGTCTTTTTACTTGTGCCACAACAAGGGCAGTCCATTTAGAAGTGACTCCCGATATGAGTGCCGAAGCATTCTTACAGGCTTTCCGCAGGTTTGCTTCACGTAGATCTTGTCCCAAGTTAATGATTTCAGACAATGGGTCCAACTTGGTGGCAGGAGAAGCATGCCTGAGGAAAATCTGGACACACCCAAAGGTACGCACAGCCCTAACTCAACGGCAGTGCTATTGGAAATTCATACCTCCCAGAGCACCATGGCATGGAGGCTTCTATGAACGGATGGTTGGTACGGTGAAACGGTCTTTACGGAAAACCCTACACCGCCAAAAGATTGACCTTCAGGAGCTTCAAACAGTAATCATAGAAATAGAAGCACGAGTTAACAACCGACCACTTACCTACCTCTCTGATGATGCTTTGCAGCGTGAACCATTAAGTCCAGCTCATTTGATGTATGGGAGACCTCTCAAAACACTTGTGTCCCTTACGGATGAGGAACCAGAGGATCCTTCATATGTCAAAGAGAGTGATTTGGTTCAACGTTTCAAACATCTTTCAGGGGTGATAAGTCGGTGGAATGACGTATGGACTCGTGAATACCTAACAGCTCTGAGGGAGTATCATTACGGGGCAAACAATCCCTATAACAGAATTAACTTGAACCCTGGTGACATAGTTCTGGTGGATAGTGACGGACCACGCTCGGAGTGGCCTATAAGAGAAATAGTCTCTGTTCATCCAGACAGCCAGGGCATCTTGAGAATAGTGAAAGTAAAATGCAAAGGCAACACTACTCTCAAAACTTTAGAGAAATTAGTACCTTTAGAACTGGCCAGGAAAGAAGACGTACAACGACTTCCAGCACCCGATACGCCAGTACGGGACATACGTCCCCAACGGACTGCTGCACAACAAAGTAAACTCAAATTAAAGCAGCACTATAATTCTGAGGGAGAAGAATAAAGTGATCGCAGTCCTTAAGGGACTTCGACCCGTGTTCTGCCCCCTGGGAATTATGTCGGGAAACCGACACACACAACCACACACACACAAATAACACAGTCTCCCCTAGTCTATACTCCCTTCAGGATGGAAAATGGGAGACTCCGTGACGTCATCGAAGTCATCGTATATTTACATTATGAAACATTGTTAATAGACTAGTTTAGTCTCTAAAGTTAACAAAAAAGTAATCACTAAGAATGAATATAATTATTTACATCAAATAGTAGCTAGGTTCCCTTGTTAATGTAAAATTACTTTGAGTGAAGAACCAGAGCATAAGAGCGTCTCCCCGAGTCGAGGAAGGCGTCCATATACACAACAAAAACAAACAGGGAACCAGCTTACCACGCTGTCTTAGAACTGGTGTAAACAGCTAGACACCCCATTTACGTGTCAACACCAGCAACACAGCTTAACAACATCACAACAACGACTGTATCCGTCTACCATGTATTGTATATTATTCGAGTGCACTGTTTAATATGAATATGTAGATGGTTATATCGTAGGACATCCCCAAAAACAACGTACGTGTACCCCATTACAGCCCTCAGTTCATGCCATACCTGTAATTGATATGTTTAGGGAACTTTGATTAATTCCTTGCATCCCATACAGGTAAATTGTGAGAGGAGCATCAAGAATCTGTGCAGACAGTTGGTTCATACACATAATTAACTACTTGTTTGCCAAGCCTTGTCCTTCCCACCAGCCGCCATTACGTGGCACAAAGAGGCAGGGCCACACCCATCTTCAGGCTACACCTACACGCCTTACTAGGCCCATTCTACTGGCACAGCTAAGACATTATAGCAGTAGCAGTAGTTATAATTACTTATAATGAAATAACTGAAATAATAGTTTTAAAGGTAAACAATTGGTAGTTTAAGAAGGACCCATAACATAGTGGTTTAGGCTACCAATTGTCCCTCCCAATAGTGTGTAAGAAGATTTCAGGCAGTTTACCAGTACATACAGTCCACTTAATTAATACTTAATTAATACTTACTTACTAAGAAAATAAATAAGACATAACTTTATTTTATTAAATCAATTTGAAAAAGATAGATTAGCTGCCTGGATTTACCCCACATCACCGGTGCCTGTACGGGACACAGAGGCCAAGACTGGCATCACCGGTGCCTGTACGGGACGCAGAGGCCAAGACTGGCATCACTGGTGCCTGTACTGGACACAGAGACAAAGACCACCGCGTATCGACATATATAATTTTGGGGGGGCTATATGTCAATACGCTGTGATGTTTCCACGTAATTTTCCCATTAGTCAGTACGCTGTGGTCAGTACGCTGTGGTCAGTACGCTGTGGTCAGTACGCTGTGGTCAGTACGCTGTGGTCAGTACGCTGTGGTCAGTACGCTGTGGTCAGTACTCTGTGGTCAGTACGCTGTGGGAGTTCCAGGTAAATTTTGCCAATCACTCATTTAGAGTTAAAGTTTTCATATAGGGGAAATGGAAAAATTTTCAGAGTTCAGTTTTATTAAAATATTTTAGAGTTTATATGATCATAGAAGTTTATTTAAGAGTTTAAGACCAAAATTTGTAAAAAAGACCATTTTCAGAGAATATTGTCATAGAAGTTTTGTTATGGAAAATAGATGTCTTATCAGTAATTTTTAGTTTTTATATCCATTTACTGCTGTGTCACCTATAAAAGACCGAAAATTATTCAGAGACCAGTTGAAGACCGAAATATAACAGTTCATTAAAAGACCAAAATTATTCATAGACCAGTTGAAGACCGAAAATTAGTCAGCGACCAGTTAAATACCGAAATACACCAGATCATTTTCAGACCAAAAAATTGCCAGAGACCAGTTTCAGCCCCATAATATTCAGAGTACAGTTAAAGATTCAAATTAATCACATACCAGTAAAAGACCAAATTTCTTCAAAGACCAGTTTGTGCCCAAAAATAGTCAGAGTCCAGTTAACCACCAACTGACAATGGTTAACAGGGTCCATTTAAGATGTAAAACATATGACAGGGTCCATTTAAGATGTAAAATTCGTCAGAGTCCAGTTTGAGACCAAAATTCGTCAAAGCCCAGTAGAAGACCGAAATTAATCAGAATCCAGTTTATGCCCAAAAATCGCCAGAGTCCAGTTTGAGCCCGAAAATATTCAGCGTCAAGTTAAAGACTAAAATGTGACAAAGTCCATTTAGAACAAAAGTTATCAGAGACCGCGTTTATAAGAATAGTCTCGCTACTAATAGCCCAATTTCAGCCCAATTTTTTTACGTCCTATTTCAGATGTAGTAAATCAAATCGAGAAAGTAAGCAAGTTCTAGCTCCTATTCCCCGCATGACTTTACCCCCATAACATCTTTACTTGCAATCCCATTTCCCTAATATGTAAAACCTCTGTATTTCAGACATAGTAAATCAGATTAAAGCAATTACCAAACTGCAGCTCCCAGCCCCCCACCTTAACCCCTTCTGGTATCTTCGTTAATACCTTAAAAATTTTCCTGAAATTTGAAACTGCTGTATTTCAGACATAGTAAAATAGATCCAAACAATTACCGAACTCCAACTCTCGTCCACCACGTGAGTTCATTGTACAAGTTCTTTAGTACAAGGCCAATTTTCACAAATTTTAAAGCAGACATACTTCTAACTGAGTAAGTAAAGAAAATAGAGTTACTGAGTTTCAGCTTCTGTCGCCCACCTTAGTTCCCTCGTGTATCTTTGTTAATACCAAACCAATCCCCTCTGAAATTTAAAAAGAGTCATAGTTTAAATATTGTAAGTAAAGAAAACGCAAATTACCGAGCTGTAGATCCCGTTCTCAGCCATAACCCCCTCTCATATCTTCATTAATATCCAATCAGTTTCCCTGAAATTTAACACACTTGTCTTATGTAATAGATCAAAGCAATTAAACTCCAGCTCCGATCCCAAACCTTAACCGCTCTCACAATTTCGCTATTATCCAATCAATTTCCTTAAAAGTTAAAACTTAGCTATTTCAGATGTAGTAAATAACACCAAGGCAGTTACCAAGTTTCAGCTTTTATCCCCCTGCCTTAGTTCACTCCTGTAAGTTCACTACTATCAGTGCAAGTTCCCTGAGAACTTAAAACCTTGCTACATTTCAGACCCCAGTAAAATAAGTCAAGACATTAATCGAGCTCCAATTCCCTTCCTCCGCCTTAGTGTAGTTAGAAACTATACTTATAAACGTTCTCTGATCAATTTTGGTCTTAATGATCTCTGTCACATTTTGATCTTTAACTAGACTCTGAATATTTTCGGGCTCAAATTAGACTCTGTCAAATTTTGGTCTCAAAGTGGAATTTGACAAATTTCGGTCTTTAACTGGATTCCTGACTATTTTCGGGCACAAACTGGTCTCTGAAGAAATTTGGTTTAAAAGTGAAATCGGTCCTTTTTCCTAGGTCTCGGCAGAAAATCGGTCTTTTAATGGCCTGATTAATTTTGGTCGTCAACTGCACTCTGAATATTTTCAGGCTTGTTACGAACCCATCACCATCGTCAATGTGTAACATCGCAACTCCAGCGCCGTCTATGGATCTGAACCCAAATTTCCCTAGAATCGGACGCTACGGGGAACATGCCCTCTATTGGTGGTGGTGCAATAGTGACAAATGGCTCAAGTTTCCTACTTTGGTTAACGAGAGAAGTCGCTGTGGATGACTTCTGGTGAGGTGGCGGCAGTTTACCTTGGGCAGCCACCGTTCTCCCGACTTAGTCCTGCAAGACGACTAAGTACGCCGCCGCCGATCCAAAGCTGTGTGTGTTGATTGCTGGTTACGCAGTATTGGAAGGGGTTGGCATACCCCAGGACTGGCTTGGAGAAACGCACGACAGAGAGGTGCCTGTTGGGAAGCGCTGCCAGCCGGTCGCTAGAGGCTTCTGCCAGGGGGGTTCGCAACCCCCTCTATTGATAGTTTTGTGGCCCCAATTAGCATGTGGCTGAGGTTCTCTGCCAGCAAGTAGATGGAGAGTGGTCATGGGGCAAAAGCACCTCGGGATACGGTTAATTGGCTGGCCCACGTAAATGGTGAACTCGCCGGTGTTTTCCCAGTACGGTTGGACAGAGTACTGGGTAACGGAGGACACACTGGGATATGACAAACACTGCATGTGAGCGCCCGGTGTCCTGAGTGAAGAAGATACCGAAGTGTAGTAATAATTGTGTCCATAAGTGTAGTAATATTATATTTATTATAAGTTAAGGGTTAGGTGTAAATATATTGGTGAAAGGAACAGTGTTTTGTTCATCCCCCCCCCTCCCCCCCCCCTTATTTATTTCATTGCACTTCATGAAAGAATACTACTGACTTGGGGTCGGATACAACAAACAAGGTTCATCCATAAAGAACCCGGTAACTGGTCCATAGTGACCCTAACAAGGCTCAAACTAGTCTCTGAATAATTTTCGGTCTTTTGCAAGTGAAACAGCAGTAAATGAATATAAAAATTAAAAGTTACTGATAAGAAGTCTATTTTCCTTAACAAAACTTCTATGACAATATTCTCTGAAAATGGTCTTTTTACAAATTTTGGTCTTAAACTCTTAAATAAACTTCTATGATCATATGAACTCTGAAATATATTAGTAAAACTGAACTCTGAAAATATTTCAATTTCCCCTATATGGAAGCCTTAGTTCTAAATGAGTGATTGGCAAAATTTACCTGGAACCCCCCACAGCGTATCGACAAATAGCCCCAAAAAAGTTCTATTTGTCAATACTCTGCACGACCTACTACTCTCCAGCTGGCCGCGGACACCCACCTGCTCCAGCTGGCCGCGGACACCCACCTGCTCCAGCTGTCCGTGGACACCCACCTGCTCCAGCTGGCCGTGGACACCCACCTGCTCCAGCTGGCCGTGGACACCCACCTGCTCCAGCTGGCCGTGGACACCCACCTGCTCCAGCTGGCCGCGGACACCCACCTGCTCCAGCTGGCCGCGGACACCCACCTGCTCCAGCTGGCCGTGGACACCCACCTGCTCCAGCTGGCCGTGGACACCCACCTGCTCCAGCTGGCCGTGGACACCCACCTGCTCCAGCTGGCCGTGGACACCCACCTGCTCCAGCTGGCCGTGGACACCCACCTGCTCCAGCTGCCCGCGGACACCCACCTGCTCCATCTGGCCGTGGACACCCACCTGCTCCAGCTGGCCGCGGACACCCACCTGCTCCAGCTGGCCGTGGACACCCACCTGCTCCAGCTTGCCGTGGACACCCACCTGCTCCAGCTGGCCGTGGACACCCACCTGCTCCAGCTGGCCACGGACCGGAAGAGGCTTCGACCTGTCAAAGACGCCGATGTTGTCCAGCCCGAGGAAGCCGCCTCCGAACACGTTCTTCCCGCTGGGATCCTTCCTGTTCACCCACCTGTACACACACACCTGTTACTGCTGTACACACACCTGTTACTGCTGTGTACACACACCTGTTACTGCTGTACACACACACCTGTTACTGCTGTGTACACACACACACACCTGTTACTGCTGTGTACACACACACCTGTTACTGCTGTGTACACACACACACACCTGTTACTGCTGTGTACACACACACCTGTTACTGCTGTGTACACACACACACACCTGTTACTGCTGTGTACACACACACACACCTGTTACTGCTGTGTACACACACACCTGTTACTGCTGTGTACACACACACCTGTTACTGCTGTGTACACACACACCTGTTACTGCTGTGTACACACACACACACCTGTTACTGTTGTACACACACACACACACCTGTTACTGCTGTGTACACACACACACACCTGTTACTGCTGTGTACACACACACACACCTGTTACTGCTGTGTACACACACACACACCTGTTACTGCTGTGTACACACACACCTGTTACTGCTGTGTACACACACACAACTGTTACTGCTGTATACACACACACACCTGTTACTGCTGTACACACACACACCTGTTACTGCTGTACACACACACACCTGTTACTGCTGTACACACACACACCTGTTACTGCTGTGTACACACACACCTGTTACTGCTGTGTACACACACACACACCTGTTACTGTTGTGTACACACACACACACACCTGTTACTGCTGTATACACACACACCTGTTACTGCTGTATACACACACACACCTGTTACTGCTGTGTACACACACACCTGTTACTGCTGTGTACACACACACAACTGTTACTGCTGTATACACACACACACACCTGTTACTGCTGTACACACACACACCTGTTACTGCTGTACACACACACACCTGTTACTGCTGTGTACACACACACACCTGTTACTGCTGTGTACACACACACTTGTTACTGCTGTGTACACACACACACCTGTTACTGCTGTGTACACACACACACACCTGTTACTGTTGTGTACACACACACACACCTGTTACTGCTGTATACACACACACACACACACCTGTTACTGCTGTATACACAAACACACACCTGTTACTGCTGTGTACACACACACACCTGTTACTGCTGTGTACACACACACACACCTGTTACTGCTGTGTACACACACACCTGTTACTGCTGTGTACACACACACCTGTTACGGCTGTGTACACACACACCTGTTACGGCTGTGTACACACACACACACACACCTGTTACTGCTGTGTAAACACACACACGCACACACACCTGTTACTGCTGTATACACATACACCTGATACTGCTGTATACACACACACACACACCTGTTACTGCTGTGTCCACACACACCTGTTACTGCTGTATATACACACACACCTGTTACTATTGTGTACACACACACCCCTGTTACTGCTGTGTACACACACACCTGTTACTGCTGTGTACACACACACCTGTTACTGCTGTGTACACACACACACCTGTTACTGCTGTGTACACACACACACCTGTTACTGCTGTGTACACACACACACACCTGTTACTGCTGTATACACACACACCTGTTACTGCTGTATACTCACACACACCTGTTACTGCTGTATACACACACACCTGTTACTGCTGTATACACACACACCTGTTACTGCTGTATACACACACACACACACACACCTGTTACTGCTGTGTACACACACACACACACACCTGTTACTGCTGTGTACACACACACACATGTTACTGCTGTATACACACCCACACACACCTGGTACTGCTGTATACACGCACACACACCTGTTACTGCTGTGTACACACACATGTTACTACTGTGTACACACACATGTTACTACTGTATACACACACACCTGTTACTGCTATATACATACACCTGTTGCTGTATACACACACCTGTTACTGCTGTATACACACACCTGTTACTGCTGTATATACACACCTGTTACTGCTGTATACATACACCTGTTACTGCTGTATACACACACCTGTTACTGCTGTATACACACACACACACACACACCTCTTACTGCTGTACACACACACACCTGTTACTGCTGTATACACACACACCTGTTACTGCTGTGTACACACACACACACACCTGTTACTACTGTTTACACCCACACCTGTTACTGCTGTATACACACACACCTGTTACTGCTGTGTATACAAACACGTGTTACTGTTGTATACACACACACCTGTTACTGCTGTATACACACACACCTGTTACTGCTGTATACACACACACCTGTTACTGCTGTACACACACACACACACACACCTGTTACTGCTGTATACACACACACCTGTTACTGCTGTATACACACACACCTGTTACTGCTGTATACACACACACCTGTTACTGCTGTATACACACACACACACCTGTTAGTGCTGTATACACGCACACACACCTGTTACTGCTGTGTACACACACACACACCTGTTACTGCTGTGTACACACACACACACCTGTTACTGCTGTGTACACACACACACACCTGTTACTGCTGTGTACACACACACACACCTGTTACTGCTGTGTACACACACACCTGTTACTGCTGTGTACACACACACCTGTTACTGCTGTGTACACACACACACACCTGTTACTGCTGTGTACACACACACACACCTGTTACTGCTGTGTACACACACACACACCTGTTACTGCTGTGTACACACACACACACCTGTTACTGCTGTGTACACACACACACACCTGTTACTGCTGTGTACACACACACCTGTTACTGCTGTGTACACACACACAACTGTTACTGCTGTATACACACACACACCTGTTACTGCTGTACACACACACACCTGTTACTGCTGTACACACACACACCTGTTACTGCTGTGTACACACACACCTGTTACTGCTGTGTACACACACACACACCTGTTACTGTTGTGTACACACACACACACCTGTTACTGCTGTATACACACACACCTGTTACTGCTGTATACACACACACACCTGTTACTGCTGTGTACACACACACCTGTTACTGCTGTGTACACACACACAACTGCTACTGCTGTATACACACACACACACCTGTTACTGCTGTACACACACACACCTGTTACTGCTGTACACACACACACCTGTTACTGCTGTGTACACACACACACCTGTTACTGCTGTGTACACACACACTTGTTACTGCTGTGTACACACACACACCTGTTACTGCTGTGTACACACACACACACCTGTTACTGTTGTGTACACACACACACACCTGTTACTGCTGTATACACACACACACACACACCTGTTACTGCTGTATACACAAACACACACCTGTTACTGCTGTGTACACACACACACACACCTGTTACTGCTGTGTACACACACACCTGTTACTGCTGTGTACACACACACCTGTTACGGCTGTGTACACACACACACACACCTGTTACTGCTGTGTAAACACACACACGCACACACACCTGTTACTGCTGTATACACATACACCTGATACTGCTGTATACACACACACACACACCTGTTACTGCTGTGTCCACACACACCTGTTACTGCTGTATATACACACACACCTGTTACTATTGTGTACACACACACACCTGTTACTGCTGTGTACACACACACCTGTTACTGCTGTGTACACACACACCTGTTACTGCTGTGTACACACACACACCTGTTACTGCTGTGTACACACACACACCTGTTACTGCTGTGTACACACACACACACCTGTTACTGCTGTATACACACACACCTGTTACTGCTGTATACTCACACACACCTGTTACTGCTGTATACACACACACCTGTTACTGCTGTATACACACACACACACACACACCTGTTACTGCTGTGTACACACACACACACACACCTGTTACTGCTGTGTACACACACACACATGTTACTGCTGTATACACACCCACACACACCTGGTACTGCTGTATACACGCACACACACCTGTTACTGCTGTGTACACACACATGTTACTACTGTGTACACACACCTGTTACTGCTGTATACACACACACCTGTTACTGCTATATACATACACCTGTTGCTGTATACACACACCTGTTACTGCTGTATACACACACCTGTTACTGCTGTATATACACACCTGTTACTGCTGTATACATACACCTGTTACTGCTGTATACACACACCTGTTACTGCTGTATACACACACACACACACCTCTTACTGCTGTACACACACACACCTGTTACTGCTGTATACACACACACCTGTTACTGCTGTGTACACACACACACACCTGTTACTACTGTTTACACCCACACCTGTTACTGCTGTATACACACACACCTGTTACTGCTGTGTATACAAACACGTGTTACTGTTGTATACACACACACCTGTTACTGCTGTATACACACACACCTGTTACTGCTGTATACACACACACCTGTTACTGCTGTACACACACACACACACACACCTGTTACTGCTGTATACACACACACCTGTTACTGCTGTATACACACACACCTGTTACTGCTGTATACACACACACCTGTTACTGCTGTATACACACACACACACCTGTTAGTGCTGTATACACGCACACACACCTGTTACTGCTGTGTACACACACACACCTGTTACTGCTGTATACACACACACACCTGTTACTGCTGTATACACACACACACCTGTTACTGCTGTGTACACACACACACCTGTTACTGCTGTATACACACACACCTGTTACTGCTGTGTACACACACACACCTGTTACTGCTATATACACACACACACCTGTTACTGCTGTATACACACACACACCTGTTACTGCTGTGTACACACACACACCTGTTACTGCTGTATACACACACACCTGTTACTGCTGTGTACACACACACACCTGTTACTGCTATATACACACACACACACACCTGTTACTGCTGTACACACACACACCAGTGTGTATACAGGTTTGTGTGTATACAGCAGTAACAGCAAGACACAACAATGTCTGACTTAGACTTGATCATTTACGTTTAGGCGAGAGAGACAAGACAGGTGTACCCACCAGGTAAAGTTGAGGGAGAGCTTGAGGAAGGCCCTGGCCAGGAACCTGGTGTCTCGCCGGCCCCTGCCAGCACTCCCGCGGTACACGGTCATGACGGCCCAGGCGTGCACGGGCGGGTTCACGTCTCCCAGCGCGAACTCGTAAGCTGTGGGCCGCAGAGAGGTGCAGCGTTAGCTCCGGGATGCCTCACAGTCAACACACCAGACCCCAGCAGCACCATAAGAACTTCTGCAATTCGTTACTGAAGAAGCCGTCTCCCAATGAATTTGGTGAGCATTTCCTGACATTGCTGACAAATTGATTGGGAGATGACTTCTTCAATAACGATTTGTAGAAGCACTTATAACAGGAACATAATTGAATCTGCTTTAATACAGATTACAAAAGAATGCAATTTGAACATTAGCAGTGGTTTATATAACTTAGATCCATTTTTGATAGATCAATTAGAGGGCGATTTGAGTAGAATCATTGATACACATTTGTCTCACTAATTCATTGTAAATATTTACTATCTCATGCTATTATTATCCATGTGTGGGCCTATTGGTAGTTATAAATGGGACCTGCCTCGCATGGGCCAATAGGCCTTCTGCAGTTCTTATGCGGCTCTTATTTGTATCCACCTAATTACCATTCATTTTTTATTGTACCTTACCTCACTTCACCTCTCTCTCCTGCCTATATATTTGTCCAATACTTAACTTGTAAATCACCATCTGGTCACCATTTGGTCCGGGAGACATCTCCCGTCACGCAGGGTGCAGTCGCACCTCCACAGATCTCCAGTATCAGCTCTTGATACTGGTAATGGCTCAAAAGGGCCACCACTTACGGGCTATTCATGCCCGTGCCACCTTTTGGGTGGCTTAATCTTCATCATTATCAACTTGTAAATAATTCATTTCTTCTGAAGATGTATTAATTTACGAAAGTACTTAAGGAAATTCCTGTTTAAATTTTTCCTCCGTGGTCTGACACTGTCACATTTTTCATCACGTGTTAATTTTCGTGATTTACACACATACATACATACATACATACATACATACACACACACACACACACACACACACACACACACACACACACACACACACACACACACACACACACACACACACATATATATATAAGTATGTATGTACCAGACATACACTTGCACCAGAGGTACCACCTCTGGTGCAAGTGTAGGGACTCATGGCCCCGGAGAAGAAAATAAAGAGTACTCAGAGAAGACTTGTGGATCCTCACTGAACACTGACATTTTCTTCTCCTACAGCCGGTCGGCCGAGCGGACAGCATGCTGGTATTGTGATCCTGTGGTCCCGGGTTCGATCCCGGGCGCCGGCGAGAAACAATGGACAGAGTTTCTTTCACCCTATGCCCCTATTACCTAGCAGTAAATAGGCACCTGGGTGTTAGTCTGCTGTCACGGGCTGCTTTCTAGGGGTGGAGGCCTGGTCGAGGACCGGGCCGCGGGGACACTAAAAAGCCCCGAAATTATCTCAAGATAACCACCCCTATTCTTTTGGTATGTGTGTATATTTATCTAACTTTATTTGAAAATGTTATTACACAAAAAAGTTACAATATTGATTACATGCAGGGTACAAGGCTGCTTGTCACAAGTTATATAGCTCCTTCAGCTCCTCAGATGGCGGGCAGGAAACATGGATGCAGTGAGCATTTCCTCTCTGGATTGCCACATTAAGGCGCTGAAAAAGAAAACTGGCAGCTCTAGGGTCTCTAGTTGTTTCGATTAGCTTAGACCCCAACTCCTTCAAAAAGCTACCAGCACTTTTACCACAGGCACCAAGTGTCTCTGAGGCAATGGGGACAAAATTGTAGTGGTGCTCAAGGTCTCTGTATTTACGTGACTTGGCCACTTCCCGGTGATTGGCAGCACCACCTGCCTGTGTAGCACTGAAGTCAACATAGGTATTGGCTAAAGTTGAAACGCAAGTGTAGTCCCACACCAACTGTCTACCATTCTTCCAGGGGTTCACCGTGATTCCGTCTGGGCGACCGACAGGCTCATCAGAGTTGAGGGACATTAGATAACGGGGCTCTCTCTCTGCTGGACAACCGGCTGTGGTAAGGCTTCTCTTAATAATGTCACTGACCTCGCCGTGTCTTGCTTGCCATCCTCCTGTCCTTTGGCAGAGAAGGCCATGCCGTCCGTACCTGTCGGCTTCTGCCTCGCCGCAAATACACCTGTATTCGGTGTGGATTGGGGCAGCGAGGCGGAGAGCCACGGCAATTCGGAGGGTCTGCGGTGTGAGACGGGTGCCGGTTGCTGACATTGGGGTTGCCAATAGGAAATCACCTGCATGGGGAGCTGCTACAGCTCTAAGTCGGGCAGTGCTATGTAGTGTTGTCGCAGCCTCTAACAAAGTCGCACCTTCTTGGTCGGCAACGGGGCGATCCCAGCTGGATTGCTTATGGGCTTCAGAAGGCGGTGGTTTGGGTGCTGGTCCTGCGAGAGAGACCCATTTGGTTGTGCAGTCTGTGAAGCTGGGATCATGTACCCCTGCCTGTTGAACTAGGTGCTCAGGTAGGATTTCCTTCACAAAGTTGTCAGATACCACTGAAGAGGACAGGAACGCTGGTACAGCAATTTGTGTTGCTGTGCGCATGCCAAGGCCCCCGAGTCTGACAGGAAGGGAGGCCTGTTTCCACTGTGAGTCGCTGATGGAAAGATCGAGGGCTTTTTCTAGTGTTGATTTCAGCAAGCATCTAAATAAATATATATATATATATATATATATATATATTGTTACGATAATCTCCTTCAAGAGAGATTTGGCGTGCTCTTTCCTATCGTCATGTTACTTCAGTACTTCTACAACATCTAGATACTACAAGCAAGTGTAGTACATATTTAGTCAAATACGTTTTGCCAAGCACAAACGTATCACACACTCGCTCTCCACTTTCCCCCTCCCTCGTCGCCGATCACCAAACTACCATTTCCAGCAAGCCCGCTTCTGATTGGTGACACAACGTCTGCACCACTGTACCTCTGCACCTCAGCGCCATCTACCTAGCCGATGTCTGGGCCTGCACCAGCCATTGGAGTTAGAATATCCTGTGCTCTCAAGCTGAAACAACCATCTGATATACGCTCTGTCTATTAGTGGATGTTCTCAGCCAGCACTTTATTCTCAGCACCTGTTAATTTCATTTTGTCTTTATTCATTTTAGAGTAACGTCACCACTATATTATTTTATGTTAATTAAGTAAGTAAGTAATTATCAAAAGAAGGCACCAAACCGGGAAGGCTATGTAGCACCATCAAATACGCAAAATAATCAGAGGGCGCTAAATATCACCAAGGATGCCAATACGAGAACAAAAACGCATAAGGCGAACGATATCAAAAGTATCCGAGTCACCAAGAATTCTATCGAGGGACAGGTGACCGCGAGGGGCGGTCGGAAAGCAAGACACACGCTCGTCCTGGAAGTCAGGACATTCAAGAAGGACATGCACGACCGTAAGAGGGACAATGCAACTAGGACAATAAGGAGCAGGGCGGCGCTCCATCAAGTGACCATGGGTTAAGCGAGTATGGCCAATACGCAACCTCGCTAGAGCTGTTTCCCACCGCCGGTTACGGTGGAAGGAGGACGGCCACGAGGAAACACAACATTTAAGAGTACGTAGCTTGTTACCAGTAACAGACAACCAAGAAGCCTGCCAACGGGTAAGGACTGAGGAATGGATAACCGGGTAAAAGTCGGAATACGGAATGCCTTTACGAGAGATGGGACAAGAGCGGACAGCTTCCTTAGCGGCAGCATCCGCACGCTCATTTAAAGACACGCCAATATGGCTGGGAACCCAACAAAACTCAACCGACTTAAATTTACTGTGAACGAGAAACAGCCAATGCTGGATCTCGACAACTACCGGATGAACTGGATTAAAGCACCCGAGAGCCATGAGGGCACTACGAGAGTCAACAACAACCACAAAGGAAGACTGACAACGAGAAAGCAGGAGACGAAGAGCATAGAGAATAGCATAAAGTTCCGCTGTAAAGATGCTAGTCTCCGGAGGCAAGCGACACATATAAGTGCGATCAGGAAAAACAACAGAGTAGCCAACACCGTCCGCTGACTTAGACCCATCGGTGAAGACAGAAACGGAGCGGGAGTGAGAAGAAAAGTGCTCGAGGAAAAGGCGTTTTAGAACTGTAGGAGGGGTAAAAGCTTTAGTGATACGAGTCAAGGATGTACAAAACCGCGGAAGAGGGACCCTCCACGGGGGCAAAGAAGGAACAACACGAGGAGAAACATCAGAAATACGAACGGAAAGAGAATCCTGCAGGCGAGATAACCGGACAGAAAGAGGGAGGTGGTGAAGAGGAACAGGAACCGCAGGAGGGGTAAAAGTTAAAGCACGACAGAGACGAGAGGAAGGATGTTGCAAGGACCGCGCAAGATAGCGAAGACAGTAGCGATCACGGCGGTCCTGGAGAGACAGGAAGCCAGTGTCAACATACAAGCTAAGGACGGGAGTCGAACGAAAGGCACCAGAACTGAGGCGCAACCCAGTATGGTGCAAAGCATCAAGACGGCGAAGAGTAGAAGGAGAAGCAGACGAGTAAGCAGGGCAACCATAATCGAGCTTAGACAGGACGAGAGAGGAATGTAAAGCAAGGAGAGTGCGCCTATCTGCCCCCCAAGAAGTATGGGACAAGACCCGAAGGAGGGTAAGGGACTTAGAGCACTCAACACGGAGGTAAGAGATATGGGGAGACCAAGACAAACGAGTGTCAAGGAATAACCCCAAAAGCTTCGCGGAATCTTTGTATTCAAGGGGATGACCATAAAGTGACAAAGAGGGACGAAGAACAACCCGTTTCCGCGTAAAAGTCATGGCACAAGTCTTAGAAGTAGAGAACTTGAAGCCATGACCTGTGGCCCAAGACGACACGGCATCAATCGCAAGTTGAAGCCGGCGTTGAAGGAGAGGCGAATCATCACCCTGACAACAAAGGGTAAGATCATCGACATAGAGAGCGGAGAAGACACCAGAAGGAAGAGAGGAAAGAAGACCATTGAGGGCAACCAGAAAAAGAGTAGTGCTCAGAACACTACCCTGGGGCACACCTTCGTATTGCTGAAAAGAGGGAG